TCCAACACTCTCTGGAGCTCCGAAATTCTGAGAGAGATCCACTCTTTTTAACTTGCGACTTCGTGACTACATGACGAGGATTTTTTTCAATTATAGGGTGGGAGTGACCAACAATCCGTCAATCAGGGTGCCGATGAGTGCAGAGTTTCATCAGGACAGTGCCGAGGCAAAGATTAGTGACATTGCAGTCATGGGCGAAGGTGGCGACGACAAATCGACCATGTTTGGATACAATTTCCAAACGCTGCATACCGGGAAATTCTTGTCCAGGTGACACGGCAAATCGGACAGGTGGATCCAACGTTTGTGCGCAATATTCTGGGAACACAGTACTCGAGTTCGTTTTGCGGTTACTCCACGCAGAACGAGAGACCGTCTCTGACGCTCGTCTCTGAATGTCAGGCCATTTCCCTCATTTGCAGTAACCCTGTGTATTAAAAACCTGGGTCGTCACACAGCTTAATCTAGCCTTGCTAAAATCTGCGCAAAAGCGAAATTCTACGAAAGTGGCAAGCGGAGGAGCACTCCTGCCGCAGGTGTTGCGGCACGGCCCAGGCCTCGGCGAGGCTCTAGCATCCAACAACGCTGCGCTTGTGAACCCAACCGAGGAGCTATCTTTGGTAGAACCTCGTGGGTGGGTTCGACCAGCAGAGATCCAGGGAGAAATTTTGGAAACTGACCATGCTAAGATGCCCATCTCATCCGATCAATCCATTAACCAGTCCCTAAACGTAAAACACCAGTTGCAGCCTCTGATATCTTCACATTTCCAGAGGACTCACTCCATAATCTTACCATGATTCATTCGTCGATTGAGGGTTCGAGGTTGTAAATGTAGGCCGCAAGCTTGAACAATTCAAGACTAGTGCTCATTTGTCACTGAAAATCACTTCGATGCATCTCATTTCGTCAATTTTTGGCATTGATCTAAAACGCAGTGAGGCAGCGCAAGCACGAGAAGAGCTACTCGGCGTGGTGCAAGTCTTCGAAATTCCACGTGGCAGTGCCACTCGGATGGAAATAGATCTAGTTGGAGGTTTGAAACGAGCCTAGGTGGACGAGTCTGATGTGGAACCAGAATAGCATGAAGGGGGCTGCCTGCGTGGGGTTGACAGATACCCAGTTAACTTATTTGTGTTGGCTCCATGTGAACTGGTGGGCGTGTCAGCAGGGTTTGAACCCTTGGTCAGGGAGCTTTTTAGAATGCCTTCCTCTTTTTTTCACCATATAATATTCAGTTGATTAATTAATCAGTCTCATTTGTAGTTATCAGTTCACAGGCTGCCTATTTCTGCCAGGCCTTTAATGTATTAGGCATGTGATGGTGTTGAAGAGGCTGGCTTCATAAATAAGGAAATTGGGTTAATTTTATAAAGGCATGATCACTAAGGGATAACTAAAAAACCAAATCTTGGCAGATTTTGTGGGAGTAGCATGCGCAACTTTCATAATAATAATCAGTTTTTTTTGAAGAGGGATTTTGGGTGTGAAATCCACTCTCGATTATCTGGACAAAGTAGCGTGTGTTAGGTGTTAATCTGAATCACAATTTTATGATTTATGGCATGTAATGTAGATAAAGCAGTGGAATTAAACAGGTGACCTTCTATCAGCAATATTACTGTATGTTTTCAAAAATAGACAAACATTATTGTCAAATATTCATTAGTTTTAAAGCTGCTCTAAATAATGGTTGGTGAAATATTCATTAGTTTTAAAGCTGATCTATTTTCATTGGTAAATGCTGTACTATTCGTGAAAATAATGGTTGGGAAATTTCTAATGAGATTGATTTCCTACTTTCTCCCAGTCATTCCTCGTCAAATATGGCAATCTTTATTGCACCTGCATACTTTAAGAATAACAACTTACAGCCCACAGATAGAAATAAATTAATACAAAAGCAAAATCATTTTATTACATCAATTGTTTGTAGTTTAGATGATATAATTTAGTGGTAGCGAAGTTATCTCCAATCCTCCAAGTCCTAGTTTGTAACCAAACTTGGGAAGCTGAATTGCAATCTCTTTTCTTTTGGGTGTGAGATTCCACTGTTTTTGAGTTGTTTTGTTCTACTTTGTTATTGAAATAGATTTGTAGTGTAACTATTTTGTTATCATTATTTTCACAACAAAATTCCATTCTTTTAAAGATCCATTACCAAGTCGTATCAGAGGATATAGTTCAATATTTATTTTGGTGGAAGTAGCTAACCAAATAAATATGATTTTATTTATTTGAGGTGGCTCAGATTTGATTTGATTAAATTATTTACTTTATTACATTTGTTACATATGCAGAGTGTAAGAACTCCAGTGATAAATTAAACAAAATTAGTATGGAACCCTGACTTCGAAAGGTTCAACCTTTCTTTGACATCAAAGTCAATACAAACCCTGCTATGAGTGGAACTTCCACTTGTGTGTCAAAATGGGATGAAACTAAAATTAGATGCATGTTTTGGTAAGAGTGGTATTAAGACAGACACAAACACACTTGATTACTACAGCCAAGATTTCAAGAAAGTTTCCACGAGATTATTTAGATTTAGATTTATTTTTGACTTTCCACTGTTATATTTTTAAACATACTATATATATGAACCACACTCCAGGGGTTTAGGGTTTCATGTGGATATGGGTTTGTCTCTACCCTCGAACTTCCCCAATTGTGTATCACAACCCAAATTTTCATGTGGCATGGGTGCACTTCCATTGGCCTCAACTAAGTCAAACGATGGATGGATTCTGGTATGAATGCTCGACCATTCCACCTCCACCACCACCTTCTATTTTTCTGCCTTTAGTCCATACACACACCTTGTCCTCATCACGTTGCTGCCACAGAGGTTGATTAGAGACCTCAATTGTGCACATGGGACTCTGAATTCTTCCAGCCAGTGGAAGAAAGTCAGAAGAAAAATAAGCATGGGCTTCACAGTTCAAGTGATGGTAGCAGCAATAGCAGCAAGTGATGGATCATTCACTCCTTTTCTATGGATCCTGTGTAACACAAAGCCCTAAGTCATAAACCCTGAGCCCTAAAAGCTGATTTAGGGTGATCCTGGGCTACAACCAGGCCCCTCAGAAGTAGTAGGCTTGGCCACAAGCAAACTCCCTCTTCTGGTCAAAGGCTAAGCCACACTCCCACTCATCACTTCCACCACCAAAGTACCCTCAATTTCATTGACCATGATACCTTGAATTCTAGATGGGAATACGTCTATTTTTTTTGTGTAGAAGACCAACAATGAGGCAAGTAGAGGCTTGTAGTTTTCTGACAAGAGAAGGTTTGACTGAGGCGGGGATCGGTCTTTGTCGATGAAGCAGATTAGGATGCTTTGATCTGCATTGTAGCCTTCTTTTGAGGGGTTCGGCTGTGCAGTTGGTGCATTATTTTGCACCTCACTTTTGGGTGCACCCGATTCAGAAAGGGTTGGGTTTCTTAGCTAGAACAATTCACCAAAAGAATAAGCTCATTCAGTTCAAGTAGTTGAATTGCTGATAAGTGACGTTATTGTGAGGTGAAATGCATGACATTGAGCAGGCCACGTATTTGAACCAAAGATACACATAAGTATGTACATGCTTTTTCTATCGACTGGTTTGTGAATTCATGACCACCGACGCCGAAGTATCCCTGGTAGAGTTGTGCTTTGGCTCTTTCGTCCGTGTGTGAGTTGCGGAATGCTGAGTTTAACAGACGTTTTCGCCTTTCTTTCCCTTGATGCACATTGATGCGTTGCTCCATTGATCCTCGAGTTGTACTGCAACAAACTCACCTTTGCACAGTTTAGTCATGTCGCTAGTAGCTATGGCACGACAGTATTCTGGCTCCTGTCATCTTTACCCATCTCGCATGTCCGTATGCTCTCTCACCTCACCTTCAACCTGCTCTGGCTCACTTAGAGTGCTCTGCGTACGATCGAAGGCAAATTGGGTGAATCTGCCAATTTTTTTGTTTTCTTTTTATTGTTTTCTTTTTGGTATTTTTCTATTGGGATAGGAGGATAGTGAACTGCAATTACTCATACAATCCCTAATACGTGAAAATTTCTTTTACATGCGAAGGTGATCCCAGCGCGTTTTGAACTTGATAAAACACAAAATGGCACGCGCTCTAACCGCCAACTGGTCGCAATATCTCTTGTGTGCTGTTTCTCAGATGTACTTGGCGAGATCGACATTGCCGAGGGCTTGGAAACACCGTGGCGATTTCCTCGTGGTACACGTGACCTCAGAATACAGTTCCTTATTGAGGGACAAAGAGCAAATGAGTTCAAAGTAACAAAATCAGAATTTTGGATACAGACTGCATGTGTGAATTCTGAAGCACAAAACACCATCATGGGCGAATGTAAAAAGATTGTCACTTCCGAAAAACCCTTCGTCTTCTACATTGATAATTACTCCTACAGCTAATGGAATATACACGCGTGTTGGAGTTATTTCTGAAGCAACATTCATCAGTTACGATTGTGTCCAGTTTTGCAGAAACTCGAAGGAAACTAATGCCATCAGGATTACACGCGCTCATATGCCTGTCCAAACACGGGGGATAGAGATCCCTGCATCGTTCTTGTTAATTCCACTTACTGCCAAGAGGATAAATAAAATTGTTGTCAAAGAATATGAGCTGTGCACACGCTTGGTTGTGCCCTTTACACATGCTCGGGACGAACGCACATGAAATTTTTGTAATGTAGGTCACATTGCAGGAACAGTGGCAGCCAAATTTATTTGCTCACAATGGGTGCCATAGTGAGCTCCTAGCAAGCTTAAAAACCATTTGTTTCGTGGCTGGCGTAATTGGCTCAACGTAATTATTGACAGTGAGCAACAGTAAATGCCCCCCTCAATTTCAGTGACCAATGCTTGCTGCAATGAAGATCAGGGATGGAACATTTGGATGAAGAGAGACCGTCGACGCGGAAGGGAACATGACACGCAGCCGTGACAGATTTCTTATAATAGCGCATGTAGCACGGAAAGACTGGCCGCCACTCTCCCTCAACTCGCCCATCATCACGACTACAAAGCCGGTCTCCCTCCTCTTTGGTGCTTGTCTGCCTGCGCCATCTTCCTCACCCCGTTACGGTGCTGTCTGTCTTGAGATCGCGCTGTGCTAGTAGCGAGGCTAGTCTTCACCAGGCCTTGTCTATCATCTAGTCTTCACAATCTGGAAAGTGTTGTTGAAGCATTGGTGTTGCAGCTGCGACATTTTGTTGGAGGTACTAAAGGAAACCATTTCCGCCAGAGATATGAACTCTGTGAGTAGTTAGGTAGTCTGGTATTGTCCGGTGGAAATAGAGAGGTCTAGGAAAATTTTCGAAAGGAGTGTGTACAGAATGGTGCGAGGACGTGAAGTTAGCATCAGATGTTGTTACGCGGGGTGTACAACTTGTCCACACTCATCTCGGTCAGCCAGTTTACGTTGAAGTGGAGGATGGCTTTCACAGTGAATGGCATTTCAAACTGAGTAAATTGAAGGCGACGGAGATTTTAGCTTGTTATTTAGGTTTGGAACAGAGTTTTTTCGGCACGGTCAGCATAATGGAAGGGTGTGACAAGATTGCGTCTTCTCTTTCGTTGAAGAGAAAGGTCTTGAACACAATGTCTGAAGAGACCGTGAAGCGAGAGTATTCTCCCCACGGAGAGACCGTTAGAGGCAACGGGTTTCAGAGAGCCCAAAAGAGGGTGAGAGTGATATGCACGGACCCCGACGCAACCGATTCGTCGAGTGACGAGGAGGACACTATCCGCATGGTTAGAAATTCGCAGAGAAGATTAGTGCGTGAGATTCACTTGTCCTCAGAGACCTTCGCTGCCGAAGAGTCTTCTTCTGACAGTGACCTCGATGAACCCGAGGTGCCGAGTTACCATACCGTCTTCACTGCCGAGGCAATGCATTGCCCTGTGAGCTACGCTAGACAGATTGATAACGAAGCGGTATTTGAGTCTTCCAATTTTTATGAGAAATCGTGGCAATCAAAAAGGATAGCTCCCAAGATGTCGGAGAAGAAGGTGCCCAGGGTTACTGCAACCATGTCTGTAGTCAAGACAAAGAACAGCAGCGCTGCTCCTTCAGTTAATGTTGGTAGAAGTGTTGAAGTGTCAAATGTTAATCCTCTGGCTACGGCCAAGCCAGTAGCGATGGCTGCCTCAGTTTCGGCCAGGAGCGATGGCAAGCCTCAAAAGTACAGGGGCGTAAGGCAGAGGCCGTGGGGGAAGTGGGCCGCCGAGATCCGGGATCCTTCTAAAGGAGTTCGGCTATGGTTGGGAACGTACGACACCGCGGAGCAAGCAGCAGAGGCATACGATAAAGCTGCGCGGGAGATTCGCGGACCCGCTGCGCATACGAATTTCAGTGCGGGGAGGAAGGTTGAAGTAGCGACGACGACGAAATCCGCGTGTGAGGTGTTGTCGAAGAAGAGCACGAAGAAAGTTGAGGCATTGGCGAAGGGGTCTCGAAGTTGTAAGAAGGAGGGGGTGACGTGTGAGAGGAAGGAGGTGGAAGTTGGGAGAGGTGGGTGTAGTTCGGAGCCATTGTGCGCTGTGGAAGTTGAGAGGATTACGGACGCGGACAGTACAGAGAGCTGCATGTACCGCTGCGATGACGAGGAAACGCAAGTGTTGGATGCATACGATATTTTAGATGAGGTTATGTTGGACCATGACCTGTTTGACAATCCCAGCGAGGATTTGGAGAACTTTAGTGAGGATTGTGAGTACTTGATGCGTTCACCGTCGTCATTTAGTTCAGGTGATGGGTCGGAGGGGTCGCCTTGCTCCAGCCTCACCGCTTGCGAGCGGTCGCCGTCCTCTAGCGTAATGGCTAGCGACGGCTTCTACGAGAGCAGCTCGGAGAACCAGTCTGATTCGGACTCGGACCACTCCGAAAATTTGAATGAGAGCAATGGCTTAGCGGAAGTCCAGAGTGCGTGCGATCTGGGAGACGTGTTTTTGTCGGATTTCTTGTTCGATTTCCCAGGTGTCAACGGTGAATGCGGTTCACCAGACGACGCGCTAGAAATCGCCGCCGGGTTCGATTTTTTGGGGGGTGACTTGGGTGATCTGGCATTCGAGTGTGACTACAGCGAAGGCTTGGACTGGTTGAACTCTACCGACATTCTCGTCGCTTAATCTCCGAAGCTACCAATACATCCCACCTTCCTCATTCTATCACACTCGAGTGCCGAACTATTTCTCCTCAAAGCCACCCCAGGTTGCTACTTCAACAAAGTGATGAGAGAGAGCTCACACTGCATGATACCCCTCGAGAGTCGACCCGAATTATTCTGAACGCTGTTCGAAGCCGACCTGAGCTTCACGAGATTATTACATATAAATATATTTTTTGTAGATTTCGAGCTTCGTCTGCGAGTGAGGCCCGAATAGCCAGCAGAAGTGGGTAGATTAGAGTAGTATTTTAGTAGTGTTACCCCATGATATGAGCATTACATTAAACGGGAACCAGAAGTTGGGTACCTCATTTTTGACGACGGGGGTTAGTGTCATGCCGGGGAGTCATCAACTTTGACCTGCACCCTTAAGAATTTGTTTAAGTTACAGTTCCACATAATCACGCACAAAGCTCCTTTCTTTTAACTACTTTGTCACCGGATATGAGTACCGAGGGACCCGTTTAACTGAGATTTTTTCTCTTTGAATTGACATATAATCTGATCACTGGTTATGTCATAGTTTCCTTTCTAGTTTGGGATGTGATAAATGTTGATGGTTGTTTAGATTTCAATTGGAGGATATTGTGATGCAGCACTCTCAGATTGGAACTTAATACTGTATAGTTCTTGTGACACATTGAGGCTTAAATTGTGTTCTAATCTGCTCAGTCAAGAGCAGGATGGTTAATAATTCACTACCACTAGTATTTTTATATTTAGTTGTACATGACGAAATAAGTTTTAAAACTTTTTGACAATGACGTGGGTTCTGTAACTTAATTTGGTGTAGATATTGTCACGCATAATGATGTGTAAATATATCGGAACACATGTTAAACAAAGAGCTCACCACATCTGTCAGATGAAATATTTATAATCTAAAGAGCAAAAATTGATAGAATGGTTGCAAAAGATTTTTTAGCAATTTGAAGTGTTGCATCAATTAAAAAAAAAAAAAAAAAAAAAATCACTTTGTAATTATAGAAAATAATTTAAATTACAATACAAATTACGTAGTATATGTGTTCTTATTTATTAAGATTTAGAAATAAACTAATGAGGTATCAAATAATTTACATATTAAATATATAAGTTCAACGAAAGCAAAAACAATTAATCACCGTTTTAAAATTTGCATTCCCAATTTTGTTATAATTTAGCAATTACAAGAGTACTTATTTGTGAAAAATTAGGTATGAAAAATAAAATTATAAATTATAAGTGATTATATTTATTTAATTAATTCAAAAAGTAAGTATAACATCAACCGTTCAATACATAAAAATGTATTATAATATCAAAAGGAAATTCTTAATCAGTTTTTAAAAATAGACAACAGATAGATGAATAATTAGTTGGTTAATTACTCAATGGTTTAATAACATTGTTGCTAACACATTGGGATTATAATATCTATACAATTTAAAACTTAATTTTCTATTTGCTAAAGCCAAAATATAATAGGTAATATTGTAGAGAATAAAATTGTAGAACTATTGTAAGTTTTTTAAGTAACTGCAAAATTAATTTGTGTTATTAACAGTTAATTGATAGACTTTTATATCCAAGATTGCATGGTGCAATATCACATCAATTATCAATATTATTGTTATTCAAGCCAAATTCTTTTAATGTTTTTTTATAGAACACTTGTATTAAATTACCAAAGTCCATTGGACATATTTCTGTAATTTCTTTACAATCTGAAAACTATTATTCTTGTTTTCTAAATTCAAATAAATACTTACAAATTACCTAATTTTAGAATCACAATAAGAAACAACTTTGGAAATAGTCTTTATCAATAGTAGAAGCTACAATATCAACAAATTACCACTTTTTCATTTTTATTAATATAGAAGTTGATAAGAATATAACCATCAGCAAAAACACTAAAAAGTGGAAGATTGGATACAGATGTGGTACCTAGTGAGGATTTATTAAATTAATTTTTTAAACCCAAATCTTATATCTATATTTTAAACACAACAAAGAAATTGGCTGTTAATCCTTTAAATATAACAATTATATTATTACAATTAATATTTATAATATTCTCTATAAATTTCCAAAAAACCCAAAATCAAATTTAAAGATCGACAATTTTTATTTTAAAATATATAAAAACTCGTATCTTAAATAAAAATATTGTTAATTATTTCAATAAATTATGGGTCTTATATTATAAAATCCAAAAAATATATATTTACTTATGCAATTATGTAATTTTATTATTTTGATAGTTAGGTTCAAAAGAAATCCAACTCATATTTTGTTATTTATTATTCTTAATATACATTTAAAATGTTGTAAAAGGGTTAAATGGCATAAACCATAACAACATCCAAATTGCATTCTACAAGGTATTGTAGGTGATATAAACATTACAATATTCTTATATATATATATATATATATATATATATGCTCATAAATTTGAAATATTGAAGAATAATTACCTTATTAACAAAATAGCATTGGTAATTTTACTTTATTATGCTGAAATAATTGATTTAAAATTGAAAGAAACTTTTATCCATGCTATTATTTTTTTGGATATTAACAAATAAAATAAAATCAAAAATCAAAAATCAAATTGTGCATAATCATGCACAAAACATCCTCCAAATAATAGATCAAAGTTTTCTGAATGCCACATGAATTAAATTGTGGTCTTCTCTAAGTGTGACAATCACACCATTTATTGAACTTGTTTTGTGGTGTCCACCTAAAACATTTGATATGGGATTAATAAACATGTATATCTTTAAGTGCCAAGTGTAGACTCCTGAGCTTCTGTCATTCTGGTTTCACAATGTTGTGACCCTAAGTAATCCACTGTTATTGTATTCAAAACTCAAGTTTGTTATTATTAATATGATTGAGTGGGAGGGCTTCCTGTTTACAATTAAGAAATCTAACTACCATCAACAGCCAAGTAAAGCAACAATTTTAGCTTTCATGGTATTCATCACAATCACCCTTCCACCACACGCAAGGTGGATGGAATAAGCTGAGACTGCTAAAACTGGCTCGATGTTGAGAGTGATCATGTGCAAAAAGAAGGGCGTATAAAATAAACATGTGAATAAAATCAGAAAATAAAACATGAAAACAAAGAAAAAGCTCTACATAGTTGCTTGTTAACGCTTGTGATACATCATCGCTCGTCCATTCTGCAGGCACCCCAAAGTACCACTATGCCACATGGGTCTCTCTCCACCACCTGTAAATGCTAACTATAGCAGCATGAATTTTTCAATAGAAATGTGGCAGATGGTGCTTAGGAAATGGGACCAGCAATCAAGGAAGCAGGTCGGAGATCGTGTTTTGTGGCCATTCAAGACAAGTTTTCTATCAGTCATGCTGAGATTGAGGCGGTGGAGGAGCCGTTTCTTTGGAGATGGCAGAGTCGTTATTGTGGGCTTCGGCGTTCTGCTCACAAGCTCCTGGGTTCTCATTCGGAGCCTTGAAGGAAGGTCTGCGATGCTTGCTAGAGATCTACGCCCATTCCACAAGTTTGTCGTCAAGTGGCCCGGAGAATACATGTCGAAAGAAGCTTTAGACAACGTCAGTTGTGGAAGAGTTAACTACCCCATGCACTGTGTAGACTACGTCAAGTTGGCAGCTACAGTACGAGGAAAATTTTCAACGGGCTCCGTAGGTGAATTGTGGAAGCCACTAGAACTAAGATGCCAAATTGTTGATACGTTGAAAATCTGGCGATGGTCGGAGGCACTTAGTATTACCTCCACCGAATTGAAACGCTAAAGATTCTACCTGTGGCCATCATTCTTTGTAAAATGTGTTGTAAATAATGTTTTACGGTGTCTAGTGGTGCACCAGGTAGATTTCATCTCGAATTTTCCCACTCCTTTGCTGACTCCGATCAGAATATAAGAAGCAAGAAGGAGATCGGGGAGCATTTCTAATGCCTCGGTCAAAAAAAGAAAAATTGCGGCACCCAAGGCCATCCAAGCCGTGCCCACAATTGGGGAAGCAGTAACTTCTACATATCGGTGGGTCACGGTGAACCTTCACTTGCTGAGGTTGCAGTTTAAAATCAAGAACACCATGATTTAAGCGACTGTAGATGGATCTTCGCATTCAGCGCAGGATGTGAAACATGTGCTTTCTGGTTATAAGTTCCGCTTTGAGGCACTCCTTTGGGAAGCTGCACCATTTACCAATTGGGGATATAGTACCAGAATATGGACAGTGACGGAGGCACTATATCTAGGAAAGGGATCAGGAATCAGATGCAAGCATTTGTAACTGTCGATATAGGTGACTCCATGTGTCCCATGACCAGGAAATGGCTACAGTAAGCGATTGACCAACCGTCGACGAGTAGCCAGCCCTGGAGCCTGGCCTTCAAGGGTACAGTGGTCGCCTATATTTGATCCGTTCGATAAATGGGATATGATTCCGTTCCACCACTTCCTCTTTTTGGACACAATTCTGGCTCCACGTCATGCTCCTGACACGCACCTGCCGGTTTCGGTGCCGTCCTTGTGATGGATGGTCCTGCGAGTGCCTGCAGTTGCCAGAGACGCCAAAGCCGAGTTCCGACAAGTGTCGTAACTGTACACAAGATGTATTTTCCTCCTAGTATCAATATACGGGTATAAATCGCCAGTTAAACTCTGACAAAACTGACAAGGAATTCTTCACAGACAGCAGCATTACCCCATGACGTGGGTTTAAATTTGCGACTTCACGTATTACAAGACTCGTTAGGGAATAGGAACACCGCAGTGACACCAGGAAGCACCCAGCACCAAAGCATCCTCTCTCCCACCTGCTTTCTTTTTCCCACAGCGTCGATTCGAACAGCGATGCCAAGCTGGTCACAGTTTCTGAAAAAAGGAAACGAATACAAGCATCAGTTCGGGCAGGTTTTAAAAATAACGATGGGGGGAGCAGTACTAGGTAGCGATGGTTCCAACCCCCCACAATCGGAGGGCTGTAATGAGAGCCTGATCCCGGTGACGTAGAGCTAGACTTGAGTAGTGGCGCACTCGTGGTGATGGTAAAGGCGTATTTGCTGGGTGGCGACCGCGTCGGCATTAATGGGCAGGAGCCGCCTGGGTCCAAGTGGGGGCAGTCGGAGAAGTGACTCCCAACCAAGTCCCGGGTCCTCACACACAGCGCGCCGTAGCCGCCGTCAGAGACACACTTGTTTGTGCTCAGATGCCCACCCCTCTGCCCCTCCCTGCCCCTCCGCGTCTGATCTCTCGCTTGGTTACTTGCTTGCTTGCTCCCACTCACCGGGTCAAAAACGGTGCTCGCCTCTTTGCAGGCTCTGTTACACCTTCCCATATCCTGCACTGTTTGTTTGTTGGCCAGGTTTTCTTTTTCTTTCTCCTCCTACTCCGTTTTCTCCTCTTCGTTTTACCATGGTTCACCTCTCTTTCTGCCATGGTCCATTACTTCGTTGGGGGATGTGTGTCTGTGTGTCTGCGTTTACAATACAGGAGGACACGTTTTATGGGAGAGAGCGACTGGTGAAGAGATGAACAACCTCTTTCACTGATTGGAGTTTCCTTTATGAATTTTTTTCTTTCTTCTTTTTACTTGCACTCTTAGTTGGAGTCTGTAGGGGATGTCTCTTTGGTGGGGAAGAGTGGATTAGCGCTTTTATGGACTTAATATAAAATGTTTCTGAATTGGAGATTTGACTTAATTTTTAAAAAAATAAGAACAAACATAAATTGTGTTCAATGAGACATGTTATGGCTGCTATGAAGTATGTTGATAGCCAAAATTAGTCTAAAACTTGAGGTTGTATGTGTTAAGCTAATAAAAATGTTGGTAGGGACAAAGTGTTTTACTTTGTTCTATATCATCATATAATCAATGAAAGGAGATTTTGTTTCTAAACCAATTGAATGCTACATTTTTTTTGGTAATAACATATTGAAGTTTAATACAATGAGTTACAAGGTTGAAACACATTTCTTAATGCTGGGAAGAATGTAAGAAGAAGAAAATACATGGTGGCAGTTGTACAAAATCCAACATAAGGGGTTTCTTCCAATATAAAACAAATAATTACAAAATAAACCAAATCGAAAATCAAAAATCAATCTTGAAAATGGGTGATTTCCACCATAAGCTCAATACAAAGTTCATTTCAAAAGAAAAAGAAAAAGAAAACTAATTGTTCTTTTTTTAGAATGACAACAATGAGTGTGAAATAAGTATAAAGATAAAATAAAATAATGATAATAATAATAATAAAAAGCTTCGAGGGTGTCTATTGATTATGCTTCTTGCAAGATCATAAAATCATATTTATTCTTAGCTGTTTGAAGAATGTATGAAAAATAGACTCTGTTATAAAATGAAGGTATTTAGATTGTCAAAAACTTCAGTGTATGCCACTAGCTATTACTTCAAACACGGATGGGATTCAATAAAAAATAATGAAAAAAAGGCATTCATCTTGAATTATAACAGATAAAGAAAAGATGACAAAGAAGAAGGCGTGAAAGGTACAAAAGGTGGGGAAATTTGGCTTGTTATAAATCAATGTTTTAAGATTCACTTTCTTTTTTGAAAGAAAACATTTCAGAAGTGTATTGTTTTTCATACCTCGTGGCTCTTAATGCAACAAAACTCATCTCCCATGAGTTGTATAGTTGGTTCATGTCAAAACTTGGTGCTTTTAATAGAAGGTGCCAAGAAATCTACAACAATCTTTTATTATACTTGGTTATTATAGCATTCAACTTTAAGGAATTCTTTACAACCAATTGTCATAGACTATTTTTTCCAAGTTGTGTAGAATTCTACATTATAAGATGTAGAAACTCGAACACTGTGTGTATAAATAGACACACCCACATATATATATATATATATATAATCATACTCATACACACGATTATGCTTACATGTGGTTGTAAAGTTGACAACTAAAAGGCAAGACTTTACATCACCTCCAAAACACCGCATTTCACAATCATTACACAACATCAGCAACATGAGAGGTGGGTTCAGATGACTAAAAGTCGCAGTTTTGGGGGATATTTTTGTTGTGTACAATTGGAAGCATGGGCTTCCGCCCCAACATTAGCAACATATTCAAGTCAAAAGCGTGGAAGCATTTGCTCACCTCGTTTCCGAACCTACCGAGCTTCAGCTTCGAGCGCCGCGCTGCTGCCGAACCTCCTCCTCCGGTCCCCCTCTGTGCACAGTAGTTAATGAGTTTCCCCTCAGGGTTGTACGTTTGCTGTATTTGGAAACAGCGTTGTGGAGGCTCGAAACCCAAAAATCTGTTGACATCAGCACAAATGGGGGCTGTGTGCGCATGCGAGCAAAGTGCAGAAACCACATGGTTCATAATGAGGCAAAAGGCAGCAGAGAAGGAAAGGAAAAGAAAAAGCAAAGAAAAGAGGGGCCGCTGTAAAACATGGTGCAAATGGAAGCAGCAGCATGGCGTGAATGCACGCGCAGGCCCGTGCTGCCGATGTGTGTATGCACTCCCCCCGAAGGCGATGACTTCTGCATCGCCCGGTTCTATTTTCAGCAACGCAGGGGCTCCTTCCTTTTTCTCGTGGTGGTTGAGTGTCTCGAATCCGAAACCGAGCAAGAAAGGAGCCCCAGTTCACGCGCCGCGATCTAATATTGGCGGCCTGATTCAAATTGCAGTAATCGCACTGCCCTTTCCTCTCAATTACACCCTTGTTTATATATTTTTTCTTTTTATTTACGGTTTTATTCCTTCTCGCCATCGCAACTACTTCGATTGCGAAGTCCAGAAAAAGGCATTCCATGCCGCTGCAGATTCATGGAGCGAAGTGATGCATGAATTCTGTCTGGAGTCAAATCGGTGGAGCGGAGCACAATGCCGTAGATTAACTTCGGAAAGCTGGGTGATGCCAGTCCTTATTTCCCCCCTTTCTCGTTGTCTTCTTGTAGATTTGAAATCTGGTTGGTGAAACTTACCCCCGGTAAAAAAAAATCCAGAAACAAATGAAAAGTGCCAAATAGAAAGAAATATGGACTGACATGAAGTGGGTTCACTGGGAAACTTCACACTAAGTTGGTTGAAATGAAATATGTTTACTTGTGTGATGCAGAATCCATGCACGAATCTCTCATCACTCCAGAGGTAGCACACAAACTGTTCATTGTTGTTGAAGACAGAGATCTGTTTGGAGCTCGAAAATGCAAACTAGGGGGTGAAAAAGTGAAGAGGCCCTTCACTTCGTGTGAAGCGCAGGGTAAGTTAATAAACCTGGACCCAGCGTGAGAAAATGAAACATCAGGACAGATAACAAAACTGGCCCGTAGGTGAAGATTGAGGTGCGTCAGAGACAAAAGCGGGGTGACAGATATTGTTTGATGAAATAGTATAATATTATGGAGGCGCAGTACAGAACATAATGAGTATCCATGATAGCCAGGTTGCCTCTGTAAATTGAATTCTCTCCGTCTCTCCCCTCGCTCCACTCCCCCACAAGTTCAATTGCCCCTCTTCCTGTAAGTCCACTCAGTGTTGACGGCCGTGTCTCCTCCTGCCGAAGAAACGTTTGTTTCGAGCCTGCTAGATTGTCATTTATCTCGCTAAGTTCCGGTGGTAGAGCTGTTGCCCCTGCCAAGAACAACGAGGAAGAGGAGCTTAGAATGAATTAATGGGTACACATTGTAGTATGTTTCAATTGCGCTGGGTTTGACGACTATATGTGTGCTTCTTTCTGCCGAGTTTTGCAGTAACTGTGAAGAAGCTCTAAAGCGACGTAGGGACAGCTTGGTTAGAGGTAGTAGAGACTGTGCACGCACTTGGTCGCATTTAGTTTTTCGAAAGTTTGGAATCATTTTCAGGATTCAGAAGAGCTGTAGTCAAGATGCCGGGTTACAGTGAGATTTTTAGTAGTGGCGTGAAACCTGATTCTCCGCCCAAGAGGAAGACCTTCACCGTCGCGCCTCGAAAGGCCCTGAAGCGAGATTACTCTTCATCTTCCGATGACGAGGGTGTTGTACTCAGGTTTCAGAGGGTTCCAAAGAGAGTGAGAGTGATATGCACGGACCCCGACGCGACAGATTCGTCCGGTGATGAGGAGGATAGTTTCCAGCTAGCGCGCAATCCTCACAAAAGATTTGTCCAGGAGATTCAGATGGAGAGCCAATCCATCACGGAGGACGAGTTTTCCTCTGACAATGAATTCAACGAGACTGAAACGCAGTCTTCTCACAGCGCGTTCACTGCCGAGACTATGCTTTGTCCAGTGAGCTATGCAAGTCCGGGTGATAGAGAGTCCATGTTGGAATCCTCCAATTTTTATGACAAGTCTTGGCAGTCGAGGTTGAAAGCTCCCAAGGTATCAGAGAAGAAGGTGCCCAGGGTTACTGCAACCTTGGCTGCAGCGAAGACAAAGAACAGCAGCGCTGCTCCTTCAGTTAGTGTTGGTAAAAGCATTGCAGTGTTCAATGCCAAACCTCTCGCTTCGACTAAGCCAGCAGCGATAGCTGACTCAGTTCCGGCCAAGAGCGACGGCAAGCCTCAGAAGTACAGGGGCGTAAGACAAAGGCCGTGGGGGAAGTGGGCCGCCGAGATCCGGGATCCTTCTAAAGGAGTTCGGCTATGGTTGGGAACGTACGACACCGCGGAGCAAGCAGCAGAGGCATACGATAAAGCTGCGCGGGAGATTCGCGGACCCACTGCGCATACGAATTTCAGTGCGGGGAGGAAGGTTGAAGTAGCGACGACGACGAAATCCGCGTGTGAGGTGTTGTCGAAGAAGAGCACGAAGAAAGTTGAGGCATTGGCGAAGGGGTCTCGAAGTTGTAAGAAGGAGGGGGTGACGTGTGAGAGGAAGGAGGTGGAAGTTGGGAGAGGTGGGTGTAGTTCGGAGCCATTGTGCGCTGTGGAAGTTGAGAGGATTATGGACGCGGACAGTACAGAGAGTTGTATGCAGCGCTGCGAGGTCGAGGGTTTGCACATGTTGGATATGTGCGGCAGCATTGGAGAGGAATTAATGGGAGATGACCTTCTGTTCGACAACTTAAGCGACGACTTCGAGAATTCTGGTGATGACTTAGATAGTTTGAGTGAGAAGTGTGGGTACTTCATGGGTTCACCCTCGTCATTTAGTGTAGATGGGTCCGAGGGATCACCTTGCTCTAACCTCACGGCTTGTGAGCCATTCTCCACAGAAGCAGGTGTCGACAACTCCTTTGGAAGTAGCTCTGAAAATTCCTCTGACTCGGAGAGCTTGAATGAGAGCAACTGCCTTGTTGAAGTCCAAAGTGCTTGCGACTTAGGAGAAGTGTTTTTATCGGACAACTTCTTGTTCGATTTTCCAGGTGTTGATGGCGATTGTGGTGCTTCAGCTGATTTACTAGACATTTCGACTGGGTTCAGTTTTCTGGAAGGTGACTTGGGCAATCTGGCATTCGATTGCGACGAGAACGAGAGCATGAACTGGTTGAACATCAGCGACGTTCTGGTTGTTTAAATAACGAGCCCTCTCGAGGAGTTTCAGGATTTTTTTTCCTGCTCTGTCCCATTTTTATTTATTTTTCCAACTGCCGGCGTGGAACGATCCATTAGCACGGTAATATGTTCACCGTTTGTCCTTAAAGGCAGGGATGCGAGGTATCTCGTTACGGGAGCTCTTTTAAAGGTTGGAACAATTGGTTTTAATATTGTTCTTAGCCGACTAGAGCTCCACCTAATTTTGTAGGTGTCTTGCTTCGTTGGCGGTGAGGTAGAACGCTCATCGACCGACCTGCAGGAGTGGGTAGTTTATAGGAGTACAGTAGTAATATGACCCCATGAGATCATGATTTGAGCATACATTGAACGGGAATCGGAGGTTGATCACCTCATTTTTGGTGAGCTGGGGAACATCAATTTTGTAGTAGCTTATCAAGTGAGCCAAGTATTCACCGAGAAGCCTATTCACTGGCGGCTTCTAGTACTGAGCACTGGCGAAGGTTAAGACCTTCCAATGCTCATTACTTTAGATTGTTATACACCGGGAGTAAGAATGTCTCTCTCCCCTTGCATTGTACACTACTTACGGAATTGATCGTGTAGGTTGCATTATCAAACTCTTTTTGTGCTCACTCGTCGTGTGGCAATCTGTCATGGTTGTTTCCTGTTGTTTTATGTCCATGGTTGCAGAGACTTCGTTTTCGAGTCTGACATGGACTGTAGATGTTACTGCCCTTGCTGTAGTTTGCATTACTGTCTCACGTGTACTGATCTTCAACTCGTATAGAAGTGACACGTTGTTGTAGTCCCAATACGTGAGATTGTTGAATGGGTTTATAGCGAAAGCTGCGAAGTGGGAAGGTTGAATATGGCTGTGACTCAGTATGAGGTCACAGCTCCGGACTAAAGCACTGCAGGATAACGACGTGCATCCAACCAGTCATACTGAATAGAAGTCTGAGACTGTTGCTTTTTATGTTAGTGCCATTTGGTTGCCAACCTTTCATTCTGGCATTCTGGTGGGAGGTGAAGCAAGGAAAGGACGCTTGTGTGGCATCTGGATATGGCCGTAGAGTAACAGGATAGTGAAGCAGAGGGCTTCAGTACAGTACTTTGCAAACATAACGTAGTTGTGTAGTTCTGACAAACATTACTTTTTCCTGGTTAGTTTATGTCTAGTTGGTTTATGGTTACTCTCGTGCGGCGTAAGTTCATGTCACTTTGCAATAGTATTCTCTGTCACCGATCTATTTAGAGCATTATCTTTCCGTCGGACACATCGCAAATCTCTCTTTGGTCTAATTTTTGACGGTGCTCGCTGAACACCGAGCAGTGCAACAGAAGACTGGCCAGTCCTGAGTCCTCTGACTGCCTTGCTGGGTTGGATGGATTGCGTCATAGATATTCATTTCGGCACCCTGTGGCTCACCGATCAGCTGTCAAGGGATTCCGAGACTCGAAACAGCTGTTAGAAAGGCCAGTTTCTGACCTAGACGTCCAAAGAAACACTTGGAAGGATCCTTGCACTAGTCTGTTCTTAGGTGGTTACAAGTATCTTAAGTCCATGTTTGCAACTATGGTGATGCAAGATCGGCCCTAAAAAGGTAGTCGTGGGGACACTGGCTCCCTGGAAACGGGTGGGTGACTGGTTTGTGCTACAGCTGAGAATTGGTATGTAAGTTGCTGCTGAGATATTGAAGGATGACATTGATTGAGGGGGCACACAGAGATGTCAATGAAGTTAGAAACCGGTCAAGAAATAAATCTCACTGCAAAACACTGCGCATTGGTGTGATCTAGTTCTGAGTGCAGGGCGCCAGCTTCTCTAATTTTTTGGTGCATCACAATCTTGCTCTTCGAAGAGAACTTTTTGTTTATGTACGCCCAAAGAGAATCAGAACCGTACACTTGAATATATACATATATATATACACACATATATATATATATATATATACACGCACACACATACACACCCACACACACATATAAAACCTCACATGGTGGGCCCAAGAAGCAATCTCGCAGACTTCCAGAACCACCCAAAAAGAAGTCCTTTAATGATCATTTCACTGACAGTGATCACAATGAAAATCAGACTTCAAAGCGGAGCCTGGATTTCCAATGCGGAGCTCTCAATCGATGCAAAGCTGCAACATGAACAGATTTCATGGGGGGGGGGGGGGGAGGGGTGTCATCGAAAATAGCCTTTTAAGATTGGCTTCCCTGTTTAGCTTGCTGTTCCTCACCTGCTCCAGCTCCACTAAAACTTCACCATAAGTTGCGTCCTTTACTGTCGCTGAATGGACATAAAATCACGCAAAAGCCAGTGACTTTGCCCAACCTCGCTTTCTCTAACAAAAACCAGTAGCTACCACCACCACCACCATCTACTAATAATAAACGACATTAATCTCTATTCGCCTGCTGAGGGTACGTCCTTGGCGAGGTGGCTAGTCGTGTCAGACTTCCCGATTGCTTGTGCCACTTATGAAACCCCCCATCCTCTGCTGCCAAGAGGACATCAGCATCCAGCAGTTACCACGCTTGGGTTGAGGCGAGTCTACGTTGGCGACCTGGTGACGACTCGTCCTAGCGCTACCACCGCTACGGTCGCCGTGGAGGGGTATTTGCCGTGCTCTGTTGGACATGCTACTGCGCCTGCTCTAATGCCAAAGCCAAGGCGGACGTGCAGTCAAAGTATATTTCAACATCTTTTTGACTGAGGCTATCATGAGGCCTGAGTTATAACTCCTGCGCTTGGACTGTGCCATTGCACCCTTCATGACCTGCCCCCCCCCCCCCCCCCCCAGTCTTGTCTTGCCGGACTATGAAAGTTACCAGTCCAAGTGCAAAATCCAAAACTCCCCAGTAATGTTCACATTTTCATATTAAAAGTAGTAAAAACTCAGAAAGATAATGTGCCTTGAATTTGGGCCACTAGTCTGTGTTCATTCTCAAACATTATAATCCCTGTAATGTATATCTTGATACATAAATATTGTAGAAGGTGTGATATTAAGGAGGTCTGGATGTCCCTGCGGGCTTGTATGGCAGCCTTTAAATGGTTTCAGAGCATTTCAGGAAAAGGGTGGACTCTGATGTGTGGTACCAGAATGGTATCAGAACTCTGTCTTCAACAAATGGCTGTGGCTCAGCACCATGAGATCTATCTCTTGGAGACCATGTTCCCATGATAGGGTCTGCACTCCATTGCTGATTGACACATTTATGTTTGAAAGTCTCTTTTGTTCCTTTTCATATAAGAATAGTAAATATCATACAGATATTCTTAACTAATCTTATTTTACTAATAAACATTAACTTGTAAATTTCTTGCCTGGAATGTGTGCATGTCTTTAATGCAGAGAACCAAGCTTTTAAATTGGATAAAATAATTGTTAACTGTAAAAAAAACTTCAGTATTTTATTTAAGCGTATTATTTATTTATTATTATTTTTTTCCCTCCTTCTTTCTTTCTTTTTCCCTCTCTAACATCTTGGTTAAATTTTCATAAAAATAACCAATTTCCACAGAATAAGATGTACTGTAACCCCCCCCCAATTTAGGTCTTTTTTCACCATCTAATATTCATGTAAATCATCCTCATTTATTTCACTATTTACTTTTCAATAAATTAATGAAAAATATTAATGGGTAGGTAATATACATACATACATACATACATACATACATACATATACACATATATATATATGGAAAGAATAGATTTTTTTAAAATTTTATATGATTATATTATGATATCATATAATGATATACATATCTTAAACGTATATTTATACATACGAAAATAAATTAAATTATACTTGTATATTTTTTACGAATTTTCAAAAAATATCATCTTAATAATTATGTGTAAATATACATAATAGAATAAATAATTTTATTTCTATGCTATATGTTTTATAATATAAGTATATAAAAAAATTAATATTATTAGTAATTTCAAATACTTATAAATTTTAAATTATGTTCTTATTATTTTAATATATATATTTTTTATTTTTTATTATAATTAATTAGATATAAAAATAGCATTATTAAAATTTAATCTAATTTTAGGTTTCTTTTGGTATTAATTTTTTTTAATTAGAAAATTTCATTTAAAAAAGAATACCATGATTTTATTAAATAAATTAAAAATAAAATATCATTCTATAATATTTTTGTGTTATATATTTATATATATACACATAAAATGAATACCAAATCAAATTTTTATTTACAATATAATATGCTATTTTTAATATTTAAGGTTCGAAATTATTATTATTTTACTTTATGATATAATTTATTTTAATAATAATACTATTTTATTATTAGTTACATATTATAATTTCATAAATATAGCTGATTCTTTTGTAGAAATTTAGATTGTAGTAGTAGCAAGTAAAAAATACATGAATAAATTAAAAATAAATATTTCTAATTTAAATTTATATTTAAGATATTTTTTAAAATATTGCTACTTTATATATTAAGAATTTTATAATTATTGGAAATATGGCCCTAACATTAATTGTGTAAATTATTAAAAATTTGTATTAAGACAAAAATTTCTTACTTGATCATCTTTGTAAAGGTTTTATCAAATTGAAATTGACACATTATACATAAATTAGATAATTCTTTGATTGATATAATATCATTTTTTATCAAATAATTAATTAAAGTTTTTATATTTATAATCTATTCAATTAGATAGGATAAGTTGTCAATTTTAAGAATTAATAATTTAATTAAAATTTAGAAATTATTTAATGAGAATATAAAATCAAAATAAGGACCAAATTTTGTATACAAAATATGTGATATTAATTTTTTTTATATTTAAATTACTACTTTATTTTAAAAATATTTTCTACTTAATTTTATTAAAATTATTTTTGTTATAATATATGCAATATTTAACATATTTTAAACTTGATGTCTTAGATATACATATTTACTCCAATAATTACTTATATGATTAGGTAGAAGTAGATGAATATAAATTAATTTTATAACATCTTCTAAAAAAGCTTTTTAGAAACTTCATAGATATGATTTTGAATTTACATATCTTTGTAATTGATTGGTAGATTAGAAACTTAATCAATAAGTTAATCACATGGCATATATATTAGTAGCTTGTAGAACAAGCTAATTATATAACACACATATAGAAAAATTGTCTTGCAAGTTAAGATATGTCTTACAAAGTCAACATGTATTGAAGGTCTTATAGAACAATGTGTCAAGGATATGAATCTCGAAGAAAGAGAATCCTCAATACACTTTTCTATCACTAAAGAGAACTAGAAAGTCACTCAAAAGGTGATGTAATATTAATTAGAATGGCTATTGCTAAAAACAAGAAAGTCTTGAAACAAGACTATTGTTCTCATTGTGTTCAAGCTTCGATATACTAAAGCAATTGAACTAATAGAGGTGGGTTCGAATACGGGGAAAGACTAGTTATATGAATTGGGTCTATTAGTGTTACAATTAACTGTACTCTGGCTATCTGAAATCAATTATCAAACTACAAAACATGAAGGCTTACTACTTCCATCTTGATTCAACACATAATCCATTCTACGACTATCAATTCAACAATACTTCTCTCAA